AAAGTCAAGCACAAATGAGCAACTTCACGTTAAAAAACAAGCCCCAAAAAACACAACCCGTGACTCACAAGATTTGCAAGCGACTTTAGAAAAAAAAAAACGAACCCAAAGTCGCTTATAATAAGCAGACTTGGCAACACTGCACTGACTGAGCTGCTTGTTTTTAAATGTACACATTTAGTAGGCGGGACTCAGGAAACTCCAGCTGTGATTGGCTGACAGATAGACACGCCCCCTCTTTTTTTTATAAGCACATGAAAGGAGCTTGATTTATCAAACTTCTCAGCTGCAGTTACACTTAAACTGTCCACACATTTAAAGGATGACTTATGAGTCTGTAACTCTTGTTATGTAAATATCTGTACACATTTGCAACCATTTTTTTCACGTACAGTACTTTACGTTCAGCAAATCTGAAATACAAGTTCAGGTGCTTAAATTAAAAGCAACAAAAATTGACAAATTTTGCAACATGCCTAGTAAAACAACCTGAAAACGTATCGTCTGGACAAGGTTGATGTAAATAAAGAACTAACAAAAACTGAACACTAAACCTGATTTAACTTGTAATGATCCATTTGTTGATTAAAACCATAAATGTTGAGTTAATGAAGCTTTCAAAAGTAACTGTTTGAAACATGTGCACTTCAATCAGACAGCTTTGCTGCCACCTTGTGGTGATAAAGAGAAGGGATCAAAAAGTCCATGGACAACAGAAATGAATAGAATTTTTTTTTGTAAATTTCCAAAACCATTTGGGAAATACCTGATGATGTAATGAGTGAAAAGGGTGGGAAGAAAAAGTGAAATGGCAGCTTTGTGTGTTTCATTCACTTTGCAGACGTCTGTTTCAGGGGAAAACAAAAAATGTACTCATTTCCAGAATTCCTGCTCTGGCAAACCTGCTATAGAAGAAGAGTTTTCCAATACCAAAGTGAAGTTAAAAGTAATACCTGAAAACAGAGTTACATGTAGAAGTGGATATTTGTACACAGGAATAAAAAGAAGTAAAGCTGACAACCAAAAAACAACTTAAAGTAGTTAAAGGCCCAGCATTATATTTCCTGTACCCTCCGTCAGCGTTCATGTGAGATTCAAACATATCTGATGGTGAGAAACCATGCAGCTGTTTTGGTCAAACTTTAAGGCCCTGTTTACACGAAAACGATTTCTGTTGAAAATGGAATCGTTTCGTTGTGTTTGTACTGTTCATTTACATGAAAATAGCTAAATGTTTTCTCTGTTTGAGAATGGGTTCCAGAGTGCAATGGTTCAAGAACGTCCCGGTGTCGTGTGGACAGAAAAAATAATATTTTATGTTGGGGAATCCCTGGCTTATGCGCAGTATGATGCAAAACATAATGGCTTCCTACAATCCACAGAAGAAGAAACTATCCACAATGGTGGATACTAGAGTGACTCTTATAAATCTATAAATCTAATTTCCCCAGACTGCTTTCAGTTTGGACATCACCTGGGCTTTTATTATGGCGGTTTTCTCATGAGAGAAATGTTAGACCGTTTTATTTTTACGCATGTGCACTTAGTTTCAAGTTTCATAGAACATAGCACCACCTAGTGGCGTGGTGTAGGAATTAAACCTTTCCCACCTTTACCGTTTCCGTGTGAACAGAGATTGTAATTAGAAGTTTTCATGTAAATGTGTTAAGAGATATGGGGAAAAAAAAAAATCTGTTTGCATTGGATTGTTGTCGTGTAAACGGGGCCTAAAACCTCACCACGCTCTCTGATGAACTAGTTAGATCTCACATATTCTGAAGCCCTCAAAGTACGTGTTGGGAATAACTGTTGGCTACTACCACTCAATGTCTGTACAATTCAGAGTTGCAGCCATTTTTGTGTAGGATAAGGTTGATTAGCTGTGACGGCCATCTTGAACGGAGTTGACTCTAAAAAAGAATCAGATCCTGCGCAATGTGTTGTGCTCAAAGAGTGCGTTGTGAAAGAAGCTCAGCTACTACCACACCAAGTTTTAGCTCTATACGTTTATTTTTGGTTGAGTTTAGCCGTTTTCCTGTTTGCTAAGTGCAGGCTGGGGCAGCCATCTTGAATTGAACACAAAGAGCAGGACACTTTTTTACACCGTGAACAATGAAAGGTAATATTGATCACACTGGGACCAAGGGTTGATGAATATTTCAACCGTTTTCAAAATAGGACGTCCCCCTGGCTTCTATCAGGATCTTTTCGTAACGTCTTTTAGAGAAACAACATTTATAGCAACAGTTTTTTGTACATTTTATGCATTGTAGCCTTTTTAAGATATGCCTGCTTGATGAGCATGTCCATTACAACTTGGTAAAGCTTAAATTTACAAAGAATTTTTGCTTTTATCTTCAAAGTTTAGATTTATTATTTGAGTCAAGGCATCTCTTAGTCCAGTAACTGTAGTTTGGTCAATTCCTGTGAGTTTTTTTCTTTGGTATATGACAACTTTAATTGTACTTTATGGTTTACTTCTCAGAGAAAGACATGATCACTGATAAGTTTTCTCAGCCACAGAATGAGTGTCTGATCATTTTAATACCTGCTTGTATTAGTCAAGGTTAGGATCCTTTTCTGTTTCGTCAAACAATATGGAAATATTCTACCAGATTACACAGAAAACTTCTGACAGTGTTACCTTTTAGTTGCACATTGTGCTTTCCAGAACTTTAAATAATTGAATATTTTTAAATATTCAAATAATACTTACTGGTAAATTTACACAGTGTTCAATTCATTTTATTTATACAGCGCCAAGTCACAACAGAATTCGTCTCAGGGCACTGAACAGAAACATCCATATATAAAAATAATAATTTTACAATATTTATCTGAGGAGCAGCTTTGAATTTAACTCCATCACAGAACTCTCATCCTGAGCAAGCAAGAAGGTGACGGTGGAAAGGAAAAACTCTCTCATGAGGAAGAAACCTTTAGCAGAACCAGGTTCAGGACAAGCGGACCATCTGCTTCGACTGGCTGGTTTGGTAGGAACAGATACACAATGGCAGGTCAAGACTCACATGTTAAGATAGAAATAGTATCAAATGAAAACTATTAATTTGTCCTCCAGTAGTCTAAGCCTGGGCAGCACGGTGGCGCAACTGGTAGAGCTGCTGCCTCTCAGAGAACAGGTCCCTGGTTCAAACCCCGAGGGAAAGACTGAAAAATACATTCCTAAGATGCTCAGGTCCAAAAACCAAAACCTCAGTCTTGTTTGTGTTCAAAAGCAGAAAATTAAGGGCCATCCAGGTTTTTATGTCTTTATATATAAATATAAATGTATATATATATATATATATATATATATATATATATATATATATAAGCTAACAAATATTGGTCCAAGCACTGAAAATTGAGGAATTCCATGACTAAGTTTGGTGTATCACGAAGATTCATTATTTATATACAAACTGGAATCTATCAGACAAATATGATTTAAACCAATTTAGATCCGTTCCTGTAATTCCAATATCACATTCAAGTCTCTGTAGTTGAATATTGTGATCAGCTGTATCTAATGCAGCACTGAGGTCTAACAGGACCAGTGTAGACACAAGTCCATTGTCTGAGGCCATGAGGATATCATTAGTAGCTTTGTGATGCATCCCACCACGGCTGTATCATCTGCAAACTTTACAATGTGACAGCCTGGATGGGTAGCTGCACAATCATACGTGAGCAGAGTAAACAGGAGGGGGCTCAACACACATCCCTGAGGAGAGCCAGTGCTGAGGGTTATGGTGGAGGAGGAGAAGTTGTGGATCTTCACTAACTGTGGTCTGTTTGTTAAGAAGTCTAGTACCCAGTTGCAAATGGAGGGGCTTAGTCCTAGTGTGAATAGTTTGTCCATCAGGGTTTGGGGGATCATGGTGTTGAAGGCAAATGTGAAGTCCACAAAGAGCATATGGACGTAAGAGTCTTTCTGCTCCAGGTGGTTGAGCGTAGTGTGGACCACAGAGGAGATGGCATCCTCTGTTGATAGGTTCTCGCGGTATGCATACTGATGAGGGTCCTTGTTGATGTTGATGGTTGTTTTGATGTGGGTCATGACCAGTTTTTTCGAAGCATTTAGCGACTATCGGGGTGAGGGCCACTGGCTGATAGTCATTCAAACCAGTCAGTGTTTCACGCAGCTGACCAGCAACTATTTTCGCTATAATTTTTTTGTGTTGTAATAATTGGTATTGGATGACAGAAAATAAGGCAGTGAGGATGTTTTGAGTCATTAAATGGGAGAAAAGTACCCCATTCAATTGACTCCAACAGTCATCACAATGAACTTTATGTCATAATAATTATGGATTAAAACATACCAGTTAAAATAAATTAACTAGATTTTTTTCATTGTATTAAAATGTATTTCAATTAAATTATCAAAAGTGCTTTTTCCGGGCAGCACGGTGGCGCAACTGGTAGAGCTGCTGCCTCTCAGCAAGCAGGTCCTTGGTTCAAACCCCGGTCCAGGGGCCTTTCTGTGTGGGGTTTGTATGTTCTCTTCGTGCATGCGTGGGTTTTCTCCGGGTACTCCGGTTTCCTCCCACAGACCAAAAACATGCATGTTAGGCTGATTGGTAACTCTAAATTGTCCCTAGGTGAGAGTGAGAGAGTGAATGGTTGTTTGTCTCGTTTGTCTCCATGTGTCCCTGTGATGGACTTGCGACCTGTCCAGGGTGTACCCCGCCCCTCGCACAGTGATTGCTGGACATGGGCACCAGCGAGCCCCGTGACCCAAAATGGAATAAGCTGGTAAAGATAATGGATGGATGGAAGTGCTTTTTCCCCCCTATTTTATATTCATGCGTTTCTCCAATTTCACCAGTAGATGTCGCACTTTCTTCAACTGATTGACTTCATTCTTTTGAATAAAGAGCGTGTCCCCCCCCCCCCCCAGCCCCCCCTGTGTCACACAGCCAGGATAATAAAATGCTGACTTCTCAAAGTGCTGTTGGTGTTTCTGTCTCAGCATAGCAGCCCTGAAGCCTGACACTCCAGGGAGAGAGGAAGGAGGAGGAGGAGGGGGGTAAAAAAAAAAAGAGACAATCTGCTCAGAGCTGCCTGGGGGGCTTCAGCTCTGTGTTTCTGTGAAGGTAGGTGGGAGTTTCTGCTACTTGTTCTGTTTTAGGAGATTGTTTTAGGGTGTTCTACACTTTTATTTTGAAGTTCTCTGTTTCCTTTAACCATTCATTTGTGGTTTTGACATTCTGCATGTGTGAAGCCGGACAAAGCTGTTGTCCAACATATCCCCTGTGCTCCTGTGCAGGTTTGATGCTTGAAGGAGGTTAACTTCAATTAGAAGCTAAAGTTATGCATGTCACTTTGAGGAAGAGTTTCCAAGATGAAACTTCTGTAGAGGCTCTGACACTCCGAGGGGTTGAGTCATCCAACAGCAGCCCATCACTGAGCGCTTCATTTGTCAGAGAGGGTTTGGAGATTTATCCCTGGAAGTTTGGACACAGGATAAAGTTTGCTCATCCAGTAGAGCCATTAGTGGCTGACGTGTGTATCTGCCACCAGATCAGATCGGCTCGTGATTCTTTCCTGCTTTTAAAATTAATCCTTCTTTGTATTACTCCTAAAAGCTAAGTTGCTCTGGGTGGGTTGAAATTAAAATGGAACCCTAACACAGTGTCAAGTAGCAACCCAAGCTGGCAAGGATTCGCCCGACTGAAAGTAGCTGACTTGTGAAGCTAAAATTAAGCTCTGAGGGCTGATTTGGAATGTTACACTCGAATGGTGAGACGTGGAGAAGATGACCCTCAGAGGGTGAGAAATCTTCAGGTCTGCAGCAGAACGACAGCTTGGTCTTTTAACAAGTTATTCTGCTGCCGTTCCAAAAACGCTAAATAAAAGTGCAGATTGAAACAGGCAGCTTCAAAGTTAAAAAGAACAATAAACCGAAAAACAATTCTGTGATTCAGCTTTTCACACACTGTACCCCCAATAAAGACAAGAGGTCAGGCAGAAGCAGCGTTTAGTTTATTTTGGAACATTTATGGGGTTTAACTCCACGTTTAAACCCTTGTAAATATCTTTTATTTTACATGCAATAATTTGTTGCAGCTCCTTTAGGCGCACCGTATTTTTCGCCCTATAAGTCACGTTTTTTTTTGTGCATAATTTGCATTCCCTGCGACTTATATGCTGAAGCAACATATTTATGGATTTTTCCTCATATTTTTAAACCAATTTTTGGCTGAGATATGACCGTTTTCATTCATTCTGATTGAAAATATTGAACACTACCATTTTCAGGCTATAGATGGCAGTCAAGCTGTATGGCATGCCGTTGTGTCATGTAATAGGTAAAAGTGGCTGTAAATGACACAATCGGCTTGCCACAGTCTGCCACCTTTGTTCTGCTCGCTTGGAGCAAAATCAGCTTAATTTCGCTGCGTCGCTCCGGCAAAATGCAGCTAATTTGACCATTAAAGTGCATTTATTAAGTGAAAGTTCAACTGAGACACACTTTTACTATAACGTCGAGCAAACAAATAATTCTTTTAGGTGTTTATCTTGTTAAATTTCGAAGAAATGCCCAGCGTTCTTCCCTCCTGATTTCCTCCCTGTCTGCGTGCTCCCGAAGCACCGAGGCAGCGAATACTTTTGAAATGCAGCTGATTTGACGGTTAAAGTCCTTTTTATTAAGTAAACGTTCAACTGAGACAAGCCTTTACTATGAAGCTGAGCAAACAAATAATTGTTTTTAGGTGTTCATCTTGTTTAATTTCGAATAAATGTGCAGCGACTCGTCCCTCTGCGCGCTCCTACTTCCGCGTAATGGCTTTTGAAATGCAGCTGATTTGACGGCCAAAGTGCATTTATTAATCAAGAGTTCACCTTTTCTATAATTTTGAGCAAACAAATAATTGTTTTTAAGTGGTAATCTTGTTAAATTCTTGTTAAAGTCCTCTCGTGCATGCTCCCGCGGCCGCCATTTGGCAGCCAATCGATTTTTGGCACAACATTGACCCACATTTCCAGGTTGTCAGCAGTGACGCGTAACAAACATGATGCATCAGCGGTGACGCATAATAGATGAGACGTATGCGGCGAAGCGACGTATGCGGCGAAAGCGACGTATGCGGCGAAGCGACGTATGCGGCGAAGCGACGTATGCGGCGAAGCGACGTATGCGGCGAAGCGACGTATGCGGCGAAGCGACGTATGCGGCGAAGCGACGTATTTGTGGATTTTTCCACTTTATTAGACATATTTGGACTGATGCCACTTATAGGGCGAAGCGACGAGAACGGCGAAAAATACGGTAATAGAAACTGTTTCTGCTGCATCATCTCCAAAACAAGTCAATTTTCCCAAGACTTTTCCTCAGAGAAGGAGCTCTATTCAATATCTTTACAAACCCAGAGTGAAGTGCCGGCAGAGAATTCTCCAAACGCTCGAGCTGCTGTCACCAAAGTTGCACGCATGCTTTTAGAAGATCAACAGATGGCTGAAGATTTCTATAATGGGTGGAATCAACATGCCAACTGGGATCCAGATGAATCTACCCACGTGAAAACTCTGCAAGATTTCAGTATTCTTGTTTAAAAGTTTTGATAATGGAACCTCGCTGCTCTTTGCACAAAATCAAATTGTTTGTTCCCAAACAGTTCGCTCTGAGTGTTCAGCAATTAAAAAAAAAAGTGTCAGATCCGACACATTTTCAAGGCCGTTTTGATCTCTTAATAAATACATTTCGTGTGGTTAGTGGAACCCCAGCAGGGTTCAGAGCTGCCCTGCGTGCAGCAGCTGGAGGTGCACGACACGAGATGGTTGAGATTTTAGCTGGATAATGAACGGTCAGCTGGCAGGTGACAGCCATCACCCTGCTCCACTCCCACCATGTTGTTGTTTCATGCAGAAACTCTTCAGGGACAGATGAACATTCATAAACATGCACGCTGTTTCCACTGAAGATGCGTCCCTGAACACAACAAAACGTGTCACAGAACCACATTTGATGCCGTTTTTTGTACCGTTAGAACTCTTCCTTTTCACCTCAAGAGCAAAAAGTGAGGCTCCAAAGCTTGAATGGAAGGTTTTGACAATAGGTCACCTCTGGTAAACCCAAAAGGTCTAATATTAAATGATAAAACCTCTCAAATCTGGCAAAAGTGAGTCATCGTCCGTTCCATCCTTTAAGATGGAACCGCCGCCGTCTTCTTATCCTTTAAGTCTTCTCAGTCTTCTTCACTCTCAGCTGTGTGATCCTGACTTTGTGTCATTGGCTTTTCACATTAGAGCTTCAGCAGCGGTGACGTAAAACCATCAGCGCAGTCAGGAGCACCATCAACGAGCTGTTTTAAAGCATTTAGAGTAAAGAGGAGCGTTGCTCTTTCACCGTTAATGATTTCATGACTATAGATCTCAAGGTCACTTGTTTTTCTGTCTAATGAAAAGGACTCAGACCCAACTATTGAAACCACTGGTTTAAATTGTCTTCAGAGTTCCTGCTCAATAATCCAGGTAAAACAATCCAACAATGGTCAGTCAGGTCATCTGGACTGTTTATTTTTGTTGTTGTTGAGATGTTTCACCCTCCATTCGAAGGGCTTCATCAGTCAAAGGAGTCCCAAACAAACTGTTTCCCCCACTAAGCAGTACACTCCTACAGTGAACCAACCAGTCCATTGGTTGGTTTAAATTGTATTTACATTTAATTGTATTTGTTAAAATTGTATTTCAGAACTTTAGCATCAGGTTTGATTGAAGTCTCTGCTAATGTTGATGGATAAAAATACTGTCATAAAAAACAAGACTTGGAGAGACGGGCACACAGCTCGTTCCCAAACGGGGAAGAACAGGAAATATTGCAGCTGCAAAGCTTCTGTTAGATCGAAACAATTGCATTTAGCTAAAACAATTGCAATATTTTTGGTATTGTAATAAATTGTTGGAATGCAGCCCAGTCTACCCAAGAAACTAAAGTCAGGAAACGGTGTTGCAAATAATAATAATAATAAAAAACTTTAATAAAACAAAACAAAAAAAAAGACATCCAACAGTCCAACAAGTAAGCATGGGGGTGGCAGCATCATAATAAATGGTTGTTCAGAGTCTGTGAGATGAGGCAGGACAAAGAGAACAATACAAATGTATAAAGCAGAAACAGTTTTTTTTATTTTTATTTTTAATTAAAGGTGGAGGCAAACATTCCCAATGTATAACTAAGAAAACTCAGACTTTAGAGAACTCCATCAGGATTAGAACACGGTAAAGCATCTCTTCAGAAAACGGGAACTAAACCTGTCCATGTTGGTTTTTATATGTTGAACTTGAACAAATTCACACACAAAAAAAGATCAGATCATGATTATGATGATTTCTGTTCCTCTGCTGCTTCAGTCAACACTGCCACACTTTACTGTCAAACTGAATATGGTTTCAGAGAAAACAGATCAACATCAATGGCACTGATACAGAGACAGTATGGATAAAAGGAAATTTGCAATCGGTGTATTTCTTGATCTCAAGAAAGCATTTGATCCCATCAATCATGACATACTAACGTATCTGGAAAGCTATAGGGGGTAGCATTACATTGGCTTAGAAGCTACTTTGGGCAAAGGAAACAGTTTAATCACAAATCAGAATGATTAAATATAACTTGTGGGGTTCCACAGGGGTCAGTGTTGGGCCCTAAAATATTTAATTTGTATATAAATGACATATTCAAAGTACCAAACCTGCTAAAATACATTATATTTGCAGATGATGCTAGCATTTTCTGCACTGGAGAAAACATCCAACAATTCTCTGAGGTGGTCACAACAGAAATGAAAAAAACTAAAACATTGGTTCAAAAATAATAAATTATCACTAAATTTAGATACTGTTCAGTGCCCTGAGTTGACTTCTGTTGTGACTTGGCGCCATATAAATAAACTGAATTGTATTGAGTAGATAAAACAAAATTCCTGATATTTGGAAAATGCAATAAACACGAAAACAATGCGGTCAAAATAAATTTTCTTTCTTTGTTTTTACTTTTTATTGTCTGTTCGGAAAAAAAGTAACAAAAACAAAACAATTAAAGATATTTCTCAGCATGTTGGTATATGTAAATTTTAAATATACAGCTGGATAAAGTCCCATTTACATTTCCCAGTAAAATAAATACTCATACTCTGATACAGACATGGACAGTATGTTTTTACTGTACAGCTCCTCGGTCGGGGGGTTTTGCAGGGTGGACCCTTTGCTCTTTGTGTTTGACTTGTTAGATATGTTTTGGGTGGTTCTTCTGTACAAGCGAGTGTCTGTGAATGATAAAACAGAGTTCACTCTTTCCAGTCCTCTCTTCATTCTGCTATTCTTAGTTGCCATGTGGCGAGCGAAGGGTTTAAAGTTACAAAGACCTTGCTCTAACATGCTCTCTTTTCCGTCTTTAACTTGTGCGGGACGTCGGTGTGCGTTTCATCACCACACACGGGTTTTAAATCAAAAATGAGCATTTCTTTTGCAGCGTGTTTACAGAGAATAGGCTCTTCTTCAGTCTGCAGACTTGTTATCGGAAATGCATCTATTAATAACGACATCACATCAATAAAGCAGCTGATGAGCTCAGAGGAGATCCTGGCTGTTTTTGACAAGGACAGTGACTGACAGAATGTAGAGCAGGAGACCCCCCCCACCCCATCCGAAAAATAAAAAAAGCAGTTTGAAGCTTCCAAGAATTCAAAGAGTTGCAGATTACTGACATGATAATAGACAAAATAATAATAATGATGATAATACGGTAAAGGCAATTTTTCTAGTAGCTTTTTCCAACAGGTGTGTTTATTATAACGGTTTTACTCGTGTTTGTTGTCGATAATTCAAAATTATCCATCCACCCATTATCGTTTGCCTCTTCTTCTTTTCGGGACGCGGGGGTCATATCCAGCAGTCACAGTGCAAGAGGTGGGGGACACCCCGGACAGGTCTCCAGTCCATCACAGGGACACATAGAGACAAATGAGACAAACAACCATTCACTCTCTCACTCACATCTAGGGACAATTTAGAGTTACCAATCAGCCTAACATGCATGTTTTTGGTCTGTGGAAGGAAACCGGAGTACCCGGAGAAAACCCATGCATGCACGGAGAGAACATGCAAACTCCAACCAGAAAGGCCCCCCCGGCCGGGATTCGATCCATCAACCTTCTCGCTGAGAGGCGACAGCGCTACCAACTGATCCACCGTGCAGCCAACTCAAGAATCAGTAGATTTTAATTAAGCTCTCAGAAATTAATCACTGGAAGAACATCACCTGATTAACATTGGGAGCCAACCAAATTCAAGATGGCCGCCATGTGGTGGAGCGAAATTACGTACACAGGGTCCCAGTTACATCCGACAATAAAATGCAAAAGAAAAACAATAACATCTAAGATATGAACTAATAAAAACATCAACTAAATATACACTAAGCACTAATAGCATAAAAACATTACGTCGAACATCAGCACAAACCTGAACACGAGTCCGTGCAGCATATTATTCAGCAATTTTGCGTTTATTTGTATATATATGTATGATTTTTTTTTTCTTGACAGTGCCCTCACATCCAGGGAGTGCAGTGGTGTGTATGAGTGAGTGTCTGTGAGCCGGAGCCATGTCAGACCCCAGGGACATCGACGAGGATGCCATCCTCAGGGGCCTCAGTGCCGAGGAGCTGGACCAGCTGGAGTATGAGCTGCAGGAGATGGACCCAGAGGTACGGAGCAGTGACTGGTTCTTTGTCCACAATCATAAGAACTTCATGTTTAGATCTGATGCTTGATGAACAGGTTTATAAACACCAAGCGTCAGATTCAGTCACTGAATTCTGTTAAAATTCTCATACCTTACATCTTTTTGATGCCTCTGATATACAGCATCTAAAACACGTGCTGAAACTAGAAATAAAATCTACTAAACCCACAGGACATTGGTCGTTCTTAATCTTTTAACCCATTTTTTACTCTTTGTAAGTTAAAGACATAACACCACACAGCACGAGACTCTGATTGGACAACTACATATCTGAGAAAGTAGAATGACTTTTGTCGGGTTAGCTGAACAACTTTTACTTTTTTCTACAAAAGACTCCTTTTTGCATACGTCCATGTTCAGAATCCAGAAGTTGTATGCTGCTCCTACAGAGCCATTCCTGATGTTCACTCGTGAGTGTCCATGACCTCTAATGTGTTCTCCCAGAATGCCATGCTGCCAGCTGGTATGAGGCAACGCGACCAGACGAAGAAGAGCCCGACGGGGCCCTATGACCGCGACGCCCTGGTGCAGTACCTGGAAAAGGAGGCTCTGGAGTGCGAGGACAGGGAGGACCTGGTGCCTTTCACTGGAGAGAAGAAAGGTGGGTGGTGGTGGGGGGGGCGGGGTCTATGCTCATCTGATTCTGAGGGTTTATCCTTTTAAAATGATTCATTTCACATATTTCAACCAGGCTGGATTCCACTTAAGCCTGTCACGATAACACATTTTGCTGGGCGATTAATCGTCTCAGAAATTATTGTGATAAACGATAATATTGTTTGAAATTTAACAATAATTAATTGTCAAATTTAAGACGAAATGATTTGTTTAGCATGTAGTACCTTTTTTGACCACCTGATGGCAGTATAAGACTGTTTGAACCAAAGGATGGATATTTGTGCAGCGTCTCTTTAAGAAAAATGGGAGGGAGGGCCCCTGACTTGACATGGGCTGACATGGTGACATGGCAGACGCTCAATGATTTGAGCTCTTTAGCATAGCATTTTTCGCACAAAGCTTTTAATAAAAAATCAGTAAACAAGTTCTCAGCTTCTTTTTGCAGAGAAAAACAACTTTTTACACAAAGGCACGGGTTTCAACCGAGAATTTTGGAGCTTCAACAAGAGGGAGGTGTTTTTCCCCGAGGTCGGCCTGTTAGCTCGTAGCTTAGCTTCTCAGGTTAGCTGATTTTAACGATCCAAAAACGCGATTTTGGATCGTTAAAACTGATTTTAAAGAGAAAAGTACGAGGTCAGTAAGCATAACCATAATTAATACATAAGGCACACCGTATAAGGCTCACTGTCGATTTTTGAGGAAAATTAAAGGATTTTAAGTGCCTTATAGTCCGACAAATACGGTACATGAATCCCCGTGAGATCCTAAACTGCACAAGATGCGAAAGTACAGTGTAGGCCCCAGTGGAGCTTATTAGAGCAGCTTCATAAATCTCTAAATATGATTCGTTTTGAAAAATTCAACACAATCAAAGCAGCGTTTAAACTTTAAACCTTTAAACATTTACAAGTTGAGACATTTAGATTGCACAAACTACTGCAGTGATATTTACGAGCATCAACTTGATCTCTGACAAACAATTTCTTTCCAGGTTTTCTCTTTTCTCCTCCGTGACTAAGTTTAAGTCTTCTTTCTTAAAGGGATAGTCTGGTCATTTTTGAAGTGATGTTCAGTCCAGTAGTTATCAGGAGTTAGTGCCTCATCAGGTGTGACATCAGGCATGGAGCACAGTGCTTAGAGGAAAGGGTAGAAATATTCCTCTTTGCCAGGTTAGGTTGTATCATAAGCCTAAAAAAATAAACACTTTAGATAGCCATTAGCCTAGTCTGGGTGAAGACTTCCCTTTTCTTCAGACTGTGCTCTGACTGATGTCACAGCTGATGAGATATTAACTATAAGAACGTCACCAAAGTTCATGCTCAATAATTCAGGTATAAAATCCAACAATGTTCAGTCAGGTCATCTGGACGGTTTCATTTTTGTGCTGAGACGTTTCGTCCATCATCCAACAGACTTCTTCAATCTGAGGAGTCATATTTCCAATTCAGAACTGATGAACTTTGGTGTTTTTGAACCACTTTAGCATGACTGGGGAGAGGGTGGGCCCTGGAGGCCATCTTAGCACCAGCAAACTATGAAGTACCGTATTTTTCACTGTATAAGTCACAGTTTTTTGCATAAATTAGCATGCCTAAGACTTATACAGCGAAGCAACCCCCCCCCCCCCCCCCATATTTATAACCAAACTTTTGGCAGAAATCTGATGATTTCATTCATTATGACATGAAAAATATTAAACATTACCATTTGGGGCCACTGGAGGGCCCTCAACTAATATGGCAAGCAAAGTGGTAATAGGTAAAAGTGGCTATTAATGAGACACTTGGCTTGCCATACAAAGCCAACTTCGTCTCGCTCCAGAACTCCTGGAGTAAACGACAAATCAGCTGCATTTTGCCACATTGACAAATTGACACACCTTTACAGCAAACAATTAATTGTTCTTAGGTGGTTATCTTGTTCAATTCCGAAGAAATGCACAGCGGCTCGTCCCTCTGCGCGCTCCTGCAGCCGCGAATCGGGTTTTGAAATGCAGCTGATTTGACCGTCAAAGTGTATTTATTGAGGAAAAGTTCAACTGAGACACACCTTTGCTATAATTTCGAGCAAACAATTTTTTTTAAGTGTTAATCTTGTTAAATTCTTGTTAAAGTCCTCCCGTGCACGCTCTCACGGCAGCCATTTGGCAATTGATTTTTGGCACACCGGCCCATGTTGGTTGTTAGTGGTGACGCGTAACAAACGCGACACGTCAGCGATGACATAATAGATTCGACTTATACTGCGAAGCAACTTATTTATGGATCATTCCACTTTATTAGACATATTTGGACGGATGTGACTTATATGGTGGTGCGACGTGTACGGCGGAAAATACGGTAGGCTGTTGTTGGAGAATCAGTTGTGTTTAGTGGCTCCTCAGATTGAAGAAGCCTGTTGGATGACGGACGGAACGTCTCAGCACAAAATAAAAATAAACCGTCCAGATGATCTGAGTGAACATTGTTGGATATAAAAACATCACTTCAAAAATGGCCAACATATCCTCTAATATCATGTCATTGTCACAAAAAGCACCTGTAACGTTCTCTTCTTCTTGTGTCCAGGGAAGGCATTTATAGCAAAGAAAAGAGAGATCCCTCAGAACGAGCAGATCACCCTGGAGCCGGAGCTGGAGGAGGCTCTGAAAAACGCCACTGACGCAGAGATGTGTGACATCGCAGGTTAGACGATTACTACTCATAGCTACAGTAACAGAAATGCGCTTTTAACCCCACACCAACATGATGATTCACCACAAATTTGACGAGACTTGTTTGTTTAGACAACATGTTTTTTAAAATGTAATTATTATGTAAAATACAAATTATAAGGAAATCTTGGCAGATGTGCAAAAGGTTCTTTGTTAACTTCTTAAAATGGCATAGGCAGCAGACGGAAAACTACGGTGCCGTAATGGCTAACAGAACTCAAAGGATATTTCTGTTTCCCACCAGCAGCTGCTAATGAACCCATGACAACACGTGCAGCATCGTGTGGCCTCATTGTTTTTATCAGCGTCTCCGACCCACAGAGTTCAAACAGTCAGGCCCGTTTTCTTCAAATAGTTTCCTCATCATTAAGACGGTGAAGCCGTCCAGAGCTAACAGACGAGTGCAGCGGAGTCCGATTCTCCGAGCTCAGCAACACAGAAATAAATAAGCCTGGCTCGAGACCATGGAGGGAAGGAGTGGACGTGGGGACGGTGAGGACTGAGATACTGTATCTGTTCCACACAGACATGTGGGAAACTGCTGTGGTCACTGCTCAAGGCACAGTTTTCCATGTTTCCTGAAGTTCAAGCGACTCAAACGGAAGCTTAGGATAAATGTGTTATAATCTAAACAAAAGTAGCAAAAAATGCATTGGTTAAATGTATAAACAAGCTTTACAACCCTACAAACTTAGTGTAAGTTATGCGAAAAGGGTTGATCACTCCACTGGAGCGTTAAAACCAATTTAGAAATCCTGACAGGCCCGTTTCACCGGGTTACAACTCATTGGTTGGAGAAGCACCCGGAGGAGGAGTTTAGCCAATAAATTAACTTAACATGAGCATATACTTAAAGAGAAAACCTTTTTGGCTACAAGAAAGTCTGTTTTTTTTTATCTTTTATTACCCAGAATAAACGTTGAGGTGCATTATAAGTGGATAAAATTGAGTTGTGTGCTTTACTGGGAGAACAAGCAGCCGCTGTCCTCTGACAGGCCAGACTGGTGAGCAGGCATCCAGAACGGCCGAGCCGGGGAGCGTGTGTGTCCGACTCCATCAGTCTGTCAAAGCACCGGTGGTTTTATCCCTGGACATCATCCAGATGAGGATTAACCCTCCGCTGGTCTTTGTTTTGGGCTTTTGGGCAAACAGAGAAAGAATAAACTGGGCGACCCCAGCTCTGAGTCGTCCTGCACTTATTTAATAGAAGTTCAGTCCAGATAATAATGAGCATGTTGTTGAACTGAGGTTTTAGTTCAGCCGTCTAATTTGCGTTGTGCAGTGGGGTTATTCTCAGGGCCAAACTGGATGACGTGAGGGGTGTTAATGGTCAGAAACACCCCTACCTCACCCCCCACACCCCTCAAAGCCCTGCCTCTTTAGCAGGCAGCTGTTCCTGCAGCTTCTCTTCTTTCTCAAGGCCCGCCCTTTTTTTAAACTTTATTTAAAGATTGTACACATTAACATACTTTCTATTACAATTCATATACAACACAGTTTACAATGAATTATCTGAAAACTACAAATACGCCTGATAAGTGATGAAAATCTTATATATATCTATATATATATATATAAAATTATATTATCTACTGTATCTTATAATATATAATATATATATTATAAGATATCATATATCTTATTATATATCTTTTAATATATAACTTATATAAGATATATGATATTATATATCTTATATAAGTTATATATTAAAAGATATATAGTAATATATATAATATATTTATATAAGAATAATTCTTATATATAAGACATTATATATTTTATAATATATAAATATTTGTAAATGAGTCCTCGAGGATCAATGCTACCTGTCTAAATACAAGCTATTTAAATATATTTTATACATTATAAGACTCCAGAAACCATCTTATCACCATCAAACTGGTTGGCCCACTATGCGAGTATACGCCACTTATGGGACTGAGTTTGTTGTGGCTCCTCGGACTGATGAAGTCCTTTGGATGAAGGATGAAACAATTCAACAAAAAAGAAACCATCCAGAGAACCTGACTTAACTTTGTTGGATCCTTTCCAATAGTTGGATAAACTAAAGGGTTTGCATGTTTATATTCTACAAAACCTCCATTTGTTTTATTTATTTTGTACTTGTACTCGTCCAATTAATTAAATTATTCAAATTTGTTTTGGTATCTGCATAAAGGAGTTCATACTGTAATATGGGATTCCAGGTCTCGCGCTGCTTTTTAAATTACAAATATAAGCCTGTTTGTCTCCGACCCGTGACTAGGACTGCTTCCAACTTTAAACATTTTTTCATAAAAGGCATTCGCAGCTGAATGTTCGGGTCTGGTGCTCCTTAACCTTAATTTCATTTTTATCTTGAACAATAATGGAGGTTCTGCTGTGGTCCTGGCCCTTCCCATGATTCTCCACACCAGGTCAGAAGGTGGTGGGGTGGAGGAGAGGTGGCTGCTGCTGTCACAACAGTTGGTTTGTGACAGTTTGGTTTTGGCAGATGAACCAACAGCTCTGCCCCCTGCTGGTGAAACACTGCAACAGCAGCAGCAAAATACTAAACTGAGTAAAAAAAAAGGCTAAAGTTCACTAAGGAAGTTTAAGCAAATTTAACTAAACAGTAAACAAACCAGGACATATGGTCCTGTTCAAATATAAGAGATGTTACAAACTGAACGGCGACCATGACTTGGACATTTTGTGATTGCTTTCCTGTATTTGCAGCCATTCTTGGGATGTACACGTTAATGAGCAACAAGCAGTACTACGATGCTCTGGGCACCACAGGAACAATCGCCAACACAGAGGGCATCAACAGTGAGTGAGACTGCTTGTTAAAAACACTGTTTTTGGTTAGATAAAATGTTCTGCCACTGACATACACGATGAATTAAAATTACAGTTTGTAATCTGAGCGGGACTATTGTATCACTCAGGTGTTGTGAAACCAGATCCATTCAAGATCTTCCCTGAGGAGCCTCCAAACTCAACTAATGTGGAGGAGACCCTGGAGAGGATCCTGAACAATGACAGCTCCCTCATTGAGGTCAACCTTAACAACATCAAGGTAACTGCAACAGGAAGTGACTACGCATGAATCCATCAGCGTGTTGCTTCAACTTATCAGAAAAGACAAATACATCCGTTCAACCAACTGAACCTGAGCTTTGGCTTTCATTCAGTTGGTTAAACCTACATGTTTCTGATTGACTTTTGCCATTTTGGTGAATAATCTCCAACTTGCAAGCCTCACAGTTCCTCCTGAATTCCTGCAGGACATTCCCATCCCTACACTGAAAGAGATTTTTGAGGCAATGAAGGGAAACTCTCATGTTGAAGTTTTAAGCATTGCTGCGACGCGTAGCAACGACCCCGTGGCCTATGTGAGTACTGGTGGCAGCAGAAATAAACATTGAACTTCATCCTCTTATATTAGTTTAAAACTTTTATTTGCACATTATTGCATGCCAAGGTTTTAAACCAAGATATTGAGTGATCTGTTAGCAACTGAACTATGTGTTAGGGTTGACTATTAGCTACTAATACACCCAATTTTAGCTAAATACGTATACAAATAAGTAAGCTATTGCCATTTTTTGTTAGGTTAGGTTAGGTTAATTAGCAGTGGAGTCTACTTTGAATTGAAGTGGGTTGACACCCAATGATAACTTCTGAAAAACTTTATTAAAATCAGTTTGGCTTATGAGAAAATGTGCTCATTTTTCATGGCAGCAAGCGATACCATCTTTTCCGGCCTATAAGTCACACTTTTTTGCCTAATTTGCATGCCCTGCAACTTATACGCTGAAGCGACTTATTTATGGATTTTTTTTCTTCTCATATTTATGAACCAATTTTTGGCTGAGATATGACCGTTTTCATTCATTCTGACGTTGAAATTATTGAACACTACCATTTTCAGCCGCTAGATGGCACTTGAGTAATATGGCATGCCGTTGTGTCATGTAATAGGTAAAAGTGACTATTAATGACACAATCGGCTTGCCATAGACTGCCACCTTCATCCAGCTGGAGCAACCGTCAAATCAGCTTCATTTTGCTGCGCTGCCCCAGCGAACTGCAGCTAATTTGACCATTAAAGTGCATTTATTATGTAACAGTTCAACTGAGACACACCTTTACTATAACATCGAGCAAACAAACAATTGTTTTAGGTGCTTATCTTGTTAAATTTCGAAGAAATGCGCAGTGTTCCTCCTTCCTGATTTCCTCCCTCTGTTAGCTCCCGGAGCACCGAGACAGGGAATACTTTTGAAACGTAGCTGATTAGACCATTAAAGTGCATTTATTATGCAAAAGTTCAACCGAGGCACATCTTTACTATAATTTAGAGCAAACAAACAATTGTTTTTGGGTGGTTATCTTGTTAAATTTAGAAGAAATGCTCAGCGAGTCGTCCCTCTGCGCGGTTCCGCTTCCGCGAATCGGCTTTTAAAATGCAGCTGATTTGACCGTGAAAGTTCATTTATTAAGGAAAACTTAGACTGAGACACACCTTTGGTATAATTTCGAGCAAACAGTTTTTAAGCGTTCATTTTCTTAAAGTCCTCCCATGCACGCTCCCGCGGCTGCCGATTTTTGGCACACCACCGGCCCATGTTTCCAGGTTGTCAGCGGTGACACATAATAGACATGACTTATATGGCGAAGCGACGTATTTATGGATTTTTCCAAATTATTAGACATTTTTGGACAGATGTGATTTATAGGCTGGAAAATACAGTAAGTAGAATTCATAAGGGCTTCAAATAGTTTTGTACCCGATGGTAACCTGTCATTCAATCAACTAGGGACAAATATATTACAGATATAATAAAAGTGAGCCTTACTACGTGTGCTTGTGCTTTCAGGCATGTGCTGAGATGCTACAGGAGAACACCAGCTTGCAGAGTCTTAATGTTGAGTCCAACTTCATCACTTCAGACGGCATGATGGCCATCATGAAAGCCATGGCTAACAACGCCACACTGGTGGAGCTCAAGATAGACAACCAGGTAAAAAATAAAAAAATAAAGCTATGGCCCAACAGCAGAAACCATTGTTCTATTACTCTGCACTTAAAGTTGGACAAATCGATATTTAACATGTATGAAAAACCAAATGCATAACTTTTAAGATGACTGCCGCCTTCTGCTTTCTGGTTTAGAGGCAGAAACTTGGCGACACAGTTGAGATGGAGATCGCCTCCATGTTGGAGAACAATTCCAGCATCCTCAAGTTTGGCTACCACTTTAACCAGCAGGGTCCTCGTGCCAGAGCCGCCATGGCCATCACAAGAAACAACGACATGCGTAAGCAATGCCCCGTCTGTATGCTCAAAATATTCAAACAAATGTATATCTAGATATAAAATCAACTGTGAATCAATATGTAGTTTGTAAGGCAGCGTTTGTAAATCAGTTTCCGTTTAAGAATGTCATCTGCCAACACAATTTGGGAAAGTGGCTTCCATTCAGAGCCATTAGTGTGCAGAGATGCAAATGGTCATCATATACCATTTATTTTTATAGTTCGCCAACAGAGACTGAGATGAAGTTAAAAGAAGAAAAAGCACGAACCGCTTCTGCCCCTCGGAACCTGCAGACGATGCCGTTGATGGTCCTGTGCCAGTGAACCAATCATCCCACATGAACCGCAGAGGAAACCACGTCCAACATCCATCCGCAACCTTTTCATTTACTGCAACAAGCTTTCACGTGCTATATTCATCATAAAGGCAACGAGCAAAATGCGAAGTGTCTTTTTTTTGTGCTTTGTAGTTTTTGCATCACCAACATCATCACCGACAGTTCTTTTGATACATAAGAACCATTTCACTGTGGTGCTAAACCCTTTGTGGGAAGGAAAACAAATCTGTAAATAAATTTAATAAACGTATGTATTTAACTATTTTTCTCTACATCTTTGGCAAGTTCAGTGTTGTTTCTACACCTTCTTGTACATTATTCTACTTATTTAAGGGCATTTCTGCAGATGAAGCTGAATTCAGAGCAGCAGCATCTCAGAGAAACCACAGCACTTTTTTTATTTTTTCCTTTTAAGTCTTTTCTGGTCTGAAAACGTCCCCCAAACACCCGACCTATTCTGATGCCCCCTCTCTCCTGGACCCTGACGCAAGGCAGAAGTTAGCTCACTGGGCTTGAGTTACCTTGTTCCAAATATAAAAACTAACTTAAGAAGGCTGAACTTTTGTGCACTCAAACGTTTATGAACAGAAACAGCTGCTAACCCTTGAGGATCCTGTGTGCTTGAGCTCCTTCCACTAACAATCACTACTAATTCCATTTTTTACTGACTCTAATTTACACAATAAATTGTTTTGTTTTCCTCCCATTCTAAAAGACATCAACTTTGTTTTCATGTTAGCTTCCTGCTTTTCTTTCTCAATAAAATGCAGACTTGAACACAGCATGCCCCCTGTACCCAACATGTGAATAAGTGGGTATAACGTTGTCCATGCTCACATTCCAAGACGTCAGAGGCGTCGGGTGAAACTTCTTCAGCTGAACAAGTTTCCTGTATTTAGGAGCATGGGGGTGGGTGTGAGGTGTTTTGGGCTCAAAGACCAGCAATGATTGACAATGAACTCTCATCAAGTTGGAGTAATGGGTGTTTATTTGGAAAAAAAAATACCATCTGAAATTTAGTATGTGTAGAAATTTGTCTAATTCCCTACTTTTTGTTGGTTATACGATGTTTCCATTGATGCCAACAGTTCATGCTCAATAATCCAGGTACAAATCCAACAATGTTCAGTCAGGTCGTCTGGACGGTTTCTTTTGTTTTTGCTGAGACGTTTCAGGAGTGTGGTAGTTGTGGGACTCCAGTACGTTTGTGGCTTCTAGGACTGAAGAAGTCCTTTGGATGTAGGACGAAAAGTCTCAGCAAAAAAAGAAACCGTCAAGATGACCTGACTGAACATTGTTGGTTTCCGTTCATGCATTTACGAGTTGCAACATCTTTTTTTGAAGTATGTTGGTTAATTTTATACTAAAGTTTGGGACACTGTGAAGTCAAGTGAAACTAGCTTTTTTTAAGTGATAAAATGAAATAAATATAAAAAAAATGTATTGATGTATATCTTTAAAACTTTACAAAGAGTTGATAAATGATATAATCTGTTTAACAAATAGTGCTAACACAGTTCTGGTTACATCATCGTGGTACAAGGTTTTGTGAGTTTCCTCACATCATCTCAGTGATTTGTAGATGGTGGGGAAAGTGAAGCGGGCTCCTCCTCGTCTGAATCAAACTCCACATTCTCATCTTTAACCCAACGGCCGCTCAGGTCTCGCACCCATCCATCGCTAAAAAAATAAAACAATGCATTTAAAAAAAAAACAGCTAGAAATTATGACACTGCTGTTTTGCTTCAGCTCCAACAACAAAACTCGATTATAAAAAATAAAAATCTGTTCTGCACCTTTTCAGTTTGAGGTAGTGCTCCAGCTCCATCTTCCTCTGGGCTGTTAGAGGTTCTGCATCTGGTGTTGCTGCAGTCTTCCATCCCGTTGTCAGTAATGACTCTTCAATGACAAAATAAAACGTTGACAATGCAACAAGAATATATGACTTCGCACAGCTAATCAATGAGAATTTATTGCGCCACTCTTTACCTGTATTACAGTCACTAGAACTGCTCGCTGGTAAATGATCTGAAACTTCATTTTTCAAGCCTTCAGGTTGCGTTTTGTTGCACGTGTTTCCGGAAGCGGCTGGTATTCTTCCTGGTTTTGTGCTTGAAAAGAATGACAGGACTGTTTAAGAACGTGTTCTCTGTTTGGAGACGTAAAAGACGATCCGCATCTTATAACCACACACCTGGTTTTTCTGTGGCAGCTGTTATATGGGACGGTCTTGAGTAAAGCGTGACGAGTGAGCTTCCGGGTTTGTTCCAGTAAAGGGGCTGAACCAGACGGATCCTGAACAAACAACAGGAACAAATATGAAATGGAGGTGCTGTTTGAACAGTTTGTTCAGCTCATGCTGTTTTCCAGTGATGACTCGGTCACCCTCTGCTGAATGACATGACTAACTCAGGCTCTCACATTTTCCCAAACAATACAGGAACTTTTTATAGAATTGTTCCCATAAAACTGTCGAGCAATTACAGTCATTATGATAAAGCCATAAACCTTTACATAGAAAAGGCATGTACTGGCTTTTACATGATTAGTGTTGACTGTTAATACATCAAAAGATACTTCCTGTACCTTTCCTTGCATATTTAACAGTTATAACCCACAAAGACATCTGGTATTTTTCCGACAACCAAAATTCAGATTTGGGTCAGTTAACCTTAACCTAATGACAATTTGCAGGTGAAAGGTGTAACACTGCTCATGTCTGAATGCAATGCTCTGCTGGGACAACCTCTACTGAGGCAGACACATAAACGGCACTCGAACATTCGCCACACAACATTTTAAATAGTAATCAGATCCTTAACACGGCAACAAAACTCTTCTACATCTAATGGGACACTCACAAGATAGCCTTTGCGTGCTCAGAGTTGTCAGAGCTGTTTCAGTATTTAAAACGATGAACAGCTCGATTGGCCATAATGTTATGGCTGATGACTGCACAAAAAAAAAAAAAAAACAGTGAACAAGATCAAGTTACCAACCTGTATGTCTTCAGCCTGGATGTAGTTGTCATGTTGCCTTTTTGTTATTTCATTCTTCAGTTTTGCTTTTTTGCCATAAAATGCTTTTAACCCTGAATACAAGAAAATTGTTTTAACACATTACACATTGCCTCAATTGTGTAGAATTTGATTAAAATGTTGAACATACACACAAAAATGAATGTTCTTTGTTTATGAACCTTTAAATTACTTACTCCCACTCTGTCTTGCTCAATTCATTCTGGTTCATGTATTAGTCTGTACTTGTGTTAAAATATGTACTTTTTACTGTAAAAGCTCCTTTTAATTACCTAAAATATTCAACAACATTTATCCCTTCAGACTTCATGTGACAGAAGTTCTACTGCTACAACAAACTTTTCTAAAAATGTTGACATCTTTGCAACTTTTTTCAGTCAGGTCATCTGGACAGTTTCTTTTTTTTTTTTTTTGTGCTGAAAAATGATTCTAGTTCTGGAGTTGCGCCGCTCGGGGTGGCTGCATGTTGGAGCGGCTCTGTTGCTTTCGTTCTGGGATTTTGCTTTTGGGGACTTTGGTTCCTGGTTTTCTGGATGTGGATCGTGTTTTTTGGATGATTGTTTCCTCTGGTGTCGGACGTTGTGCAGCTGGAAGGATTTTTACTGAAACTTTTTTACTTTTGGACATTTGTTATGATGCGTAACCATGGCAACAAGGCTGTTTTCTACAACAACAGCAGCTGACTAACATCTCAAAAGCTCAAATAATATCTCAACTATGGCCCTAACTCTCAAATGAGTTGAAAAGGATGTTATGTGGACGCATTCTCATCTACCTGCCAGCTGTGCTCGAGTGCCTGACCACTGAAATCCTGGAACTAGCAGGAAACACGGCTCATGACAGCGGAAAGACAGGATCGTCCCTCAGCACCTACAGTTGGCTGTCCACAGCAACGAGGAGCTCGGCAGACTGCTGGGAGGAGTGGCCATCGTTCTGGGAGGAGTTCTGCCCGGCATTCGGGCGGTCCTATAGCCTGGGGGAACAGAGAGGCCAGCCGAGTCTGGGTGGACGGATTGGACGGCATCTGCAGCCAGTTTCTTAGGATCCACTGTGGGATGGACCTTTACAAGAGATCCTTCCTGTCTACAGCATCTATAACATCTCTTAATGAAATGAGGATAACGAGTTACAACAACAAAATAATTTCCCTCTGGGATTAATAAAGTATTTTTGAATTGAATTGAATTGAATTGAAACGTTTCGCCTTCGATCCGGAAGGCTTCATCAGAGTTAAGGCGAAACGTTTCAGCACAAAAAAAAAAAACTGTCCAGATGACCTGACTGAAAAATGTTGGATTTTATGCCTGGATTATTGAGCATGGACTTTGTTGTTTTCAACCAGTTTGACAAGACTGTCAACAAGGAAGAGAGCCGGCAATATAGGAGGGGGCGTACCAAAGAGACCATCTTATCACAAGCAGAACTGGTTTGTTCCACTTTGGAGTAAGCTGTTGGGGGTAGAATCTATTCTGTTGTGCGTTTCCTTGACTGATGAAGCCTTCTGGATCGAAGGCGAAACGTTTCAGCACAAAAAAAGAAACTGTCCAGATGACCTGACTGAAAAATGTTGGATTTTACACCTGGATTATAGAGCATGGACTTTGTTGTTGACATCTTTGATTTTGGTATGAGATGCTGTCTGGTTCCATGGTGCTATCAGTCACTGGTTCCCAGTGTTGGGATTGGCTTTAAAAAAAAAAAAAAAAAACCCACGAGCGAAGGGTTTTAAGAAGATTTCCAGAAATCAAATAAAATCTAAAGATGCTCGATAACAGCACATTTAGTCACAATTGTTATAAAGTATAAAACATCACAGCAGTTATGGCTCAAAACATGTTACCTTCCAGATGCTTCTTTCCTTGTCTGTGGACTGTCAGCATATCAACTGTATCAAACACTGGACGGTAGGAGCACACAAGACAAGTGTATCTACAAACCAGAGAAAGGCTCAAGTTATTTCTTTACTAAAAATGACAATTTTCTGGTGCAAGTGTGTGACTAATTTACCTTCCATTTTTCAAAAGAGTAGCTTCATCTTCTGGAATGAAATTAGATAGAAGGTCTGCCACACGCCTTTTCTAAAAACAAACAAACAAACAAAAACATTTATTTAAAAGTTTGATGCAATTATGTTAAAAACTCAACTGTCACCAAAGCAGAACCGAACAGGGGATGCTAAATTCAACGACGACTACAACTTTAAGTTTCTTTAATGAAACAGAATTATCTGATTAGGATAAACTGTTACCTTAAGGATATTGAGCTGACTTTTGTCATCCCCTTCTCGTTTAAAAGACATGATCGTTATGGCTACAGTGTTGATGTTTTACAGTAGCGTTAAGCTAATTCCTGTTAGCAGTGCTGCGTTCATGAACAAACGGGACAAACGAAGAATACGCTCAGCTGCTGGCTGATATCATAAACACAATCTACGGATTTTTAGGATTCCTAAAAAAATAATAATTTTAATGTAATTCAATGTGTATAAAAGTGTATATAACGTATGTATATTATGTGACAACCCCTCTTCCCGCAATAGTTTTCAAACTAATCGAAATAATTCTATGTATTCCAACTCTTGTAAACGCAGCATCTGTGACGAAGACCAGTCGCTCAACACGGCAGCCATGGCAACACACGGCTGCTGACATTGAGTTAAGACAACGTAAACAAGTTCACGATAAACTTTTCAAGTGATCTATGTACAGGTAAAGTAGGTCCATACGACGGTAAACGAGTTTATTTAACTGCTGCAAAAGTGGAAATGTCTATTCGAGATGTCATAGCAGGTTTAAGCGTTACAGATTTAGTTCAGGCTAACTAACTAGGCTAGGCTAACCGCTAATGATACTTGAACGGATCCCCGGGTAATTGTAGTTGCAGTAGTCATGTTTCTGGCACTATTCGGGCGACCATCAACCTAAATGTTGCTCGAAAATGTCCGGAGAGCGATTGACATCAGGGAGAGGAGGCGGCCTCTCCCGCGGAAGCCGAACGAGGTCTTACGGAAGTTTGATCCGATCTTCGCTCACCCCAGTTCGCCACGGATTCATTGAGCACACGGTTCAGCCAGGAGACACACTACAGGGCCTGGCTGTGAGATATGGCGTGTCCGTAAGTATAAATTGTTTAGTTGCTCCACATTCACAAGCTATGTTAGTTTTTCACACGACTGTAGAAGTTATAACATAATAAATGATGCAGTTTGAAGAAGGGATGGTTTTGCACATATTTTAAATCCAGTTCTGAAATGCGGGTCTGCACTTAATGTAAACAAAGCTACAGCATACAGTGAAAACCAGTGAGTCACGTGATTCACCTGCATTAGGCTGTTTATTGTCTTGTCATGTGTCAAACTCACAAAAAGGGGCCACGATTAAAACCTTTTTTCAAACTAAGGGCCAGTTTCAGAATCTACATGAACTCAAGTTAGATACCCAACATCTTTTCTTGGTCACAGGTTCCTCAAAAAAAGTTTGATTGGTCTCATTTGACGTTCTCTGTTGCACTTTTGACATCATAATCAAAGATTACTGAAAAAATTAAAGTGAAAAAAAAAAAAGTATTTTACGTTTAACGTATCAACTTGGGAGCCAGATAAGATGTCACCGAGGGCCACATTTGGTCCCCGGGACTTGAGTTTGATATATGTGCAGAGTGACCTATTTTCAATCAATCATCTTTACCCATCCATCCATCCATCCATTATCTTTACCCACTTATTCCATTCTGGGTCACGGGGGTCGCTGGTGCCCATGTCCAGCAATCACTGTGTGAGAGGCGGGGGACACCCTGGACGGGGACACATAGAGACAACCATTCACTCGCTCACTCACACCTAGAGACAATTTAGAGTTACCAATCAGCCTAACATGCATGTTTTTGGTCTGTGGGAGGAAACCCACGTATGCACGGAGAGAACATGCAAACTCCACCCAGAAAGGCCCCCCAGCCGGGATTTGAACCAGCGACCATCTTTCAGAGAGCCAACAGCTCTACCAACTGCACCACTGCGCTGCCCCTCCCAAATTCTGCTTACATTTTTTTTTTTAAATTTAAGGCCACATTAGTATAAGTAAAAAAAAAATGCAGATTTAGGTTTATAGTCTTTATGACTTAGTAATGAGTATCAAATTTTTATGGACATGTTGCTAGACCACATTCTTTTAAAATTTTACTTGATTGAAACATATTTACAATACAGTACTTTAAAGTCATTTTTAGCAATATGATCAATGTGCTATTTTTTTGTTAAGTGTTATTATTTTAGTCGGTGATCTTTTTTTTTTTCGTGGTTAACCTTCCTTTTTTGCAAGTGTAACAATATAATTTGCATTCACTTAATGGTTACTTAAGAAAAAAAAAATAGAAATAACCACATTGCACTGGAAAAGCACTTGCGTATAAGAAGTTTTTATCAAGTTTTATTCGGCATGCTGCGTGCGTGACTTTATTCGGGGTTCTGTTACCTCCTTATTATTAAAAGCAGATTCCATCATCTTTATTAGAACAAAGAGACGCTGCCTTCACATAATACAAGTTTACAAGTTTTACCATCTTACCTCTTTCAGATGGAGTTAATCAAAAGAGCAAATCGACTGTACACCAACGATTCAATATTCCTGAAGAAGTCCTTGTCAATCCCAGTGCCAACAGATTTGGACGACTTCGGGGAGAAGGCATCTGAAGAAGACGGTGAACAAAGCAACACCGACAGCGCTTCTGTTCAGAGTGGACACTCGGAAAACTTCACTGAGAAAAAGCAAAGAGAAATGACACCGGACCCTACGCCTCTGGATTTTTTGAGGAAGCTGGATGATTTGATCAGCCAGTCTAAGCAGGCTGCAGCCCGAGGATGCCTGGATGCAGAGCAAAGGTAACTAAGTCCCGTCTGTTCAGGTATTTTCATTGATTTAGGATGTATCGTTTCCTTTCAGCTATAATTCAGTATTTCACATCGCCGTTCGTTTTCTAAATATATAAACTGAAAAGTGCTTTTTATTGCCCGCTGAAGGCTAGAGGGTGATAATGTTTGTGCTTCCAATGCATGCGTTTGTCTGTAATGTTAGCATAATATCTCGTAAATCACTGGATGGTTTTTAATGAAACAAAGTATTCATTGGACGTACATTTTAGTCAATTTCAACTTAAGATGGCCGCCACAGCTAACTAATATTAGCCGACTCAAAATTTGTTGTAATGTCAAATTCACAGATGTTGAACTAAAGTTTGATGTGGTAGTAGCTGAGAGTCATCCCCAACACAGACTCCGAGTGCTAACACATGCACATAGATGATGCATGTATACAAAACGTTCTAATAAAAAAAAAAAAAACTGAAAAATTGCACATTTGAACGGCTACTATGGCTAGGCCTGTCGCTATAAACAATAAATCAATTAATCGCACGATAAATGAAAATTATCGACCTCATTTTCATTTATGGGCTTTATCGTTTCTTCGTCTCTCCCGTTCTACTGAAGACACTGGATGACAAAAGACTCGACTCCGGTGCTCTTCACTGACCCCTCGCTTTCTCGTCAAAATCTCGTTTTTGGATCGTTAAAAGCAGCTAAGCTGAGAAGCTAAGCTACGAGCTAAGCTAACAGGCCGACCTCGGGGAAAAAACCTCCGTCTTGTTGAAGCTCCAAAATTTCACAGTTGAAACTCGTGCCTTCGTGTAAAAAAAATTTTTCTCTGCAAAAAGATGCTGAGAACTTGTTTGCTGATTTTTTTTTAAATTAAAATCTTTGTGTGAAAAATGCTATGCTAAAGAGCTCAAACCACACCGAACGTCTGCCATTTTGAGAACTGAAAAAAGGAAGGAGAGACACACTACTCGCTCCCTCACTATCCATTACTTGGTTCAAACTGTCTTATACTGCCATCCAGTGGTCAAAAAAGGTACTACACACAAAAAATAACCAACATTTCTTCTTAAATTTTACAACAATTACTAATTCTTGTCAAATTTCAAACAATATTATCGTTTATCGCAATAATTTCTGAGACAATTAATCGCCCAGGAACATTTGTTATTGTGACAGGCCTATTGCTCTAAGGAATGCCAGATCTTTAATTTTTATTATCATTTTTAACTTATTTACACAGTAATTTGATCATTTGTCACACTAAAGTTTATGTAATTTAGTCTACTTAATTCAAAGATGTTGACTTGTCTAAAACCTTTATTTTAATTATCCATCTCCTAAGTGACTGAAAAGCTACACCAGTCTAAAAATTAAAAACTAATTATAAATTGACTTCATGCACTTTAACACTTTAAGAATGTTTCTGCTGCTTGAATAAAATGTCCAGGGACCACTGCACTGTTCTGCTGTGAGACGTTGTGATGTTGTCCTGCCTCAGCTCAGACAGCAAGTCCTCTCTGCCGTCTGTCCCAGGGCTGTTTGCCCAAGGGCACCCAACAAAAAGACATGCAGGCTTTTTGTCACAACTGGCACCTGGTTTCAGTTGTGTAATCATGGAATCAAGAGTCACTGAAGGGTTTTAGGCAGTCAGTGATGTGCGTTATACACAGTCACATTCACAATAAACGGGTCTCAAACATGCAGTGTTCTCAACACTTTCCTAGAAAAACACTTAAAGAACATTTTTTTAAGAACTGTGCTCCAGTGACTCATTTAAAATAGAAGACATTGATTCCTGTTGCGGCTCCAAATCAATACTTTTATATGTTTTTTTTGAAGATTCTTAAACAATACTTAATACATCCATTCACCTCCCTGCACCCCCATTCTTACCAGATTTCTCTTTCATTGCTGCAAAAAGAGAATTTCTCACGCCTTGAAGCTACGTGGAATATAATTTAAAGCCTGAGCTTTGAGCATTACTCACCACGGCAAAGGGAGAAGCAGACTTTGAAAGTGTTTTTACCCCAAGCTGAAAATGGGTAGAATCACTCCGTCTTTTAATGTCTTTTTCCCGCTCTTTTAACAGGGCTGCGGCCTTAGAAGCAGCTTGCTCCAGCAGGACATCAGGTTGGCGGCCACTCACAAGATCGCAAAGTGTCATTTCATCTTCCAGAATTCAGCAGCAGGCAGGACACACGGCTCTACCCCTCACCATCACCAAGCTCACCAAATTGAAAGACAGGGAAGATGAAATCTTTGAACTGTGACATCTTGTTTTATGTTTTTTTTTTTTTTGCACACCGATCGTTATAAAAACTTTCCCGAGGAGCCGTATCGCAGGGATTGAACTCCAAAACGTACCAAGTTACAAAAAGAGCAAAAGAACCTTGCTGTCCGTGCTGTAAAAAGTTAAAACAGTTAATCACAAAGCTGTTTCATATAGAAAGTCGGTTTTCTTTTTAGAAATTTAATTTGGCACATTATAGCTTTATTTAAATGCAGATTATAAAAGTTTACTGTGTGTGTTTGACTTGTTCTCACAGCATAAAATGTTACAAGGTTGAGTCATGTGGTGTTTTAGACATAAGACTGCATTTATTAGACTCATCAAGTGGGGGTTCATTTTGAATTTTATTTAAGGATTATGTAGTTTTTTTTTTTAATAATAAAAGAGTCCGTGTTAAATAACTTTCTTTTTAATCGTATTGCTTAATGGTCCAAGTGACATGATTTAACCTTTTTTTCTTAAGTAATTAAGCGTCATATTGTTATAATTGGTGGAATATCACGTACAAGTTCATTAGTTTTTATATTTTTCACAGTACTTTTTCTTTTAGTACTTTAGGACCAAACTGAGCGTGCATCAGGATATCCATTTCCATCCATTCAGTTTCACTGCTGAGAATATCGTCCAAGCTTTCAGACACGAGTGAGGCAATGTTTTTGTAGATATTTTTAATTAATGTTTTAGATTTATTTGAACAGCACACTGCTGGTAAAAATAATTGTCCATGTTATAATTAAATTTTTGTCAGCACCTCTAGTGAACTGTTGTTGAAGCATCACCTGGTGGCCAGTAGATGGCAGTGTTGTCTTGCAGTGGTATTCTCCCTCTTTTCTGTTCATAAAGGCCATCTGACTGATTTAATGCCTCCATCATCAGTAGCTCCAGTAATATATTTAAAGGGTTATAAAAAAAAATAAAAATCATAAAACATTTGACAGCACTTTAAAAGTCAAGTTAGGTTTCTATGAACCCTTTTTCCTGGAAGTACAAGTACACTTCACGCGTATACAGCAGACGTGTCGCAAAACGATTGAGAAATGAATCCACCTGTTCTTGTTTCAGTTTGTTGCTTCAGAACTGTTTGGGGCGGCAGATTTGTTCTGAAGTCTCTCGTCCTTTATCACCGTTCCTCTGCAGCAGTAAGACTACAGTCCAGAGTCTTAAGGCGCACCTCCCCGGTAATCTCCCAGTGTCTGTAACGGATGGTTTACTCGTGTGTCATATCGTGCCGTCCTCTAACAGTTTGTTGAGTCCTATACAGATTCTGGTGAGGTTGGGTTTGAAGGCGCCGCTGGGGTCGTATAGTTTGGTGAGGAGCTGAGGGTCTGAGTAATGGTTGAAGACGTGATTGATGCGATCGTGAGATTTAGTCGTGAGGTGGGCGTTGACCAGCTTCAGCAACAGATCCCTGCAGCTGGTCAGGAGGTCCGACATCACCGTCTTATCGAAGGTGAAGTCCACCTGTGACAGGAGACACGTTCATGTTAGAAAGTTGTCAGCGATTGCGCGTTGCATGTGTCGACGTTTTATTTTTGACTAGGTCAAATGTTTGCAGTCGCCGGCAGCTCCAGTCCTGATGTTTGCAATACATAAAACAATGTCACAACTAATTATAGCCTTTTGCAATCCCCAAGTATTAATGGTTTTATTTGTAAGATCTAGATTACAAAATCCTGCTCTTGTTGTGTTGGATGTCGTCTGCTTTTATTGCTGTTCTAATAATCTCGGGGGCTGAGATGGGGCAGAGGTAGGGCAGCCGACCTGGGACCTAAAAGTCCCAAGCAAGACACCCAATCCCCAATTGCTCTCCGGGCACCTATAGCTGCCCACCGCTCCACCCGGGTGCATCCCAGTCGTGATGGGCCAAATGCAGAGAACTAACTTCACCATCGTACAGGCACATACAATGGTGACGACGCATAACACTTTACTTTATAAATCAGTCAGTGTCAATATAATTTTTTTAAAACTCAAAAAACATACGGCTACTCTCACAACCTGACCTTGCCAAGAAAATAGAGAGGCCACCAAGACACATGAGAACACGTTGGATCAGTTCCCATTCAGCAGGTGAAATGGGAGAGACCGTGCAAAGAACAAATGATGCACTGTATTTATGGGAATGATAATACATACACATTATTATTATTGTTAATATTATTATTATGGGAGAGTGGCAAAGAAAAAGATGCTGTTGAAGAAAACATTAATAAGAGTTGAATTAAAATATTTAACTCCTTTGGCAAACTAGTTGAGATTTAAAACTCACGGTCAGTTTATAGATCTGCTTTTGGTGCACGTGCTCCATTTTCTTTCTGTTTCTTGATAAATTTAACAACAATCACGGGGGTATTCGGGGCCTGGGGAATAATTCTTTAACCACTTGTACTTTTCAATAATCTTTTTTTTCTGACTTGAATCAGGACAGTAACTTTGTAGAGGGTGAATTTTTATGCAATCACTTATTTTGCATTACGTTTTATTTAATTGATATTACTCTTAAGAAGTTTGATTTCACTTGGAAATTTATTTTATATATATATATATATATATATATATATATATATATATATATATAT